GCCGCAATCCCTTCTCCTCCATTCTCCTCTCAGGATCTTGGGCACGCACACTCACGCCCAGCGTGAGTTTAAGCCACCAGGTCCGGGACTTGAACTGCGGTCGACTATGTGGTAGTCCAGTGACATAGCCATTACGCTACTGCTGGTCCCAAGTTTTCTTAGCATGGTACCTAGGCTGTAAGGTCAGTTCTAATGTGAGAGCCCTTCTCATGTAAAAACTGAGAGCCCAAGAGTCCTCTGGTCCTAGGTGGCATGAGCTATGTCCACTCATATTTCATTGACCAGAGCAATGAAATGACGAAGACCAACATCATGGGATTGAGATTTATACTGTTCCCTTGGAGGGGAGTGCTGCAGTAGGGAGAGTGGATATTCAGTCACCCATAATGCAGTTGTCACATCACACTGTGCCCCTCCTCCAGCTCTCTCAGCCAATGCTCTCCCAGCCACTTCTCTGTCAGGACAGAGGTGCAAGTCCAGGCTGGTGTGGCACTGTTGGTCACCGTTGGTTTCTCCCAGCAGGCATTGTCTGCTTCACTGCAGACTCATATGGCACTTTTGTGTGAAAATGACTTGCCATTTGCCAGCATTTTTTTGTAACTATATGCACAAAAAAAATCTATAGTGACAATGAATGTGGCTAGTTCCTCCTACGTTTACAGGCCACAAGCTCAATAATCTTAATCTAAGGTAGATGATGCAGTTGGCTTTAGGACCCCTCGGACAGGCTTCCTCATTCATTGATGCTGACTTGTGCCAGGCACCTGTGGATACATAGCACCGAGCGATGAGATGGACAAGGTCTTTGTTCTCATGGATCCCCCATGACTGAACTTCTGAGGAAGCTGTTTTTTGAGTGTAAGACCTGGTAGTCACCTAACCAGTCAGCTGGTAGTCCTTGAGCTGACTCAGGACCTGTGGCTCAGTGAAAGTGAACCAAGGTTTCAGTTTATGTACCATGGTGTCTATGCCAAGTGAATCCTGAGAGGCCTTGTTGCACTAAGCCAATGAGTTCAAAGCTTAGATGGGATTTTTAAGTCCATGGTGACCCTGTGTCCTAGTTTACCCCAGACAATCCTTGGTTAAGTATCTTATCCCCATCTAATTATCAGTATAACTCCTTTTTCCTCTTAAAAGTATCTCAAGTTGGATAGTAAATATATAATCACATATGTCAGTCAACTTTTTTGCCATGGCAACTAATTCCTTCACAATCTTAGTGACTCAAAACACTGACTATTTAGGTTCTGCCCATGGATCCACATATCAGCTGTAGCTCTGCCCCAGGCCGCTGTGCACATTTATATTTTCTCTTCATTCTGGACTTTGGGCCAGTGTCACCAGTTTTCTTTTCTTTTTCTTTTTTTTGGAGAGGTTTTTGCTATAGGGCATGTGCGCTCGCCAGACAGAGAGAGATAGAGAGATAGAAAGCAAGAAATCACCCCCCAGGGGGGATGGCCACGCCGCAATCCCTTCTCCTCCATTCTCCTCTCAGGATCTTGGGCACGCACACTCACGCCCAGCGTGAGTTTAAGCCACCAGGTCCGGGACTTGAACTGCGGTCGACTATGTGGTAGTCCAGTGACATAGCCATTACGCTACTGCTGGTCCCAAGTTTTCTTAGCATGGTACCTAGGCTGTAAGGTCAGTTCTAATGTGAGAGCCCTTCTCATGTAAAAACTGAGAGCCCAAGAGTCCTCTGGTCCTAGGTGGCATGAGCTATGTCCACTCATATTTCATTGACCAGAGCAATGAAATGACGAAGACCAACATCATGGGATTGAGATTTATACTGTTCCCTTGGAGGGGAGTGCTGCAGTAGGGAGAGTGGATATTCAGTCACCCATAATGCAGTTGTCACATCACACTGTGCCCCTCCTCCAGCTCTCTCAGCCAATGCTCTCCCAGCCACTTCTCTGTCAGGACAGAGTTGCACTGACTTACAGGACACAGGGACAGAGTTTTGCCTCCATTTGGATTACAAAATGTATTAAGTGATTTCACTGCAGTGTGGAGCCTGCTTTGCTTTTAGATTCTAATGGAGGGGTTGGAGAAGAGGCATAAATATTTGCTGTGGCACTCTGGCTAACTGGGACAGGGTCTCATCCTCCCCTGCAATTCCAGCACCACCACCCACCACAGAAAGTCTGCACCAACACATTTTCCACTCCACTGTGTGAGTTGTCAGAGCCAAATAGAGCATGGTATCTGACCATGCCCTCCCTTCCCTCATGTTGGGGCTTTACGAGATACGGTTTCTGACACCTTTTACTTTGTCTCCACTGACTCCCTTCTGCTGTAGCCCCTATCCTTGCCCTTGTTGTTTTGCACCTAGGGATTTTTTTTTTTTAATGCCTGAGAGTGTGTGTATGCACAAATGAGAGAGAGAGAGAGAGAGAGAACCTCCCCCTACTGGTGCCTGGTCATGCCATGATCCTATTTTCTCTGGTTCTCCATCCCATCAGGATTCTGGGCACACACACATATGCATGCTCAGTTTTTAGGCTGCTAGTGCCAGGACTCAAACCTGGTCAGTCATGTGGCGTCTGGTTTCCTCTATGCACTGCTTAGCCACTGTGCTATAGGACCAGCTCTGATCTGGGATTTTGAATTTCGATTTCCACTCAGTGTTTGAACAAAGGTTTTTGCTTTCATCCAATTCTAGAAATTCCTCAGGTACTGGTTCGCTGATGGATGGATGATGCCTTTCCTTGTTCTCCATTGCATATTCCACTTCAGTGGGATTTGAGAAGACAAACATGACCATGATTTTAGCTCAGTTACCCATGTTGAAACTAGAACCCTAGTGTTTTCAGAGATACAGCATTGTTTCACCGGAAGGGCAAAGACTGATTGGGAGACACAGAGGAGATACGTTAGATCTGTTACCAGCCTGGCAGCTAACTTTCTCTCAAGAGCAGTTTTTAATGAAGAATCATTTCATAAGAATGATAAAGGGTTATGCTGAAAAATGCACGGGTGGTGGTGTTCAGCTTGACTCAGTAGTAAGTGACTTGCATGAGGGTTCCCACGCCTATCTTAGCAAAAATGCATCTTGTCACAGAAAAGGGTGTTGATGCTGCTGAGGACAGTTAAAATCATGAGTACTGGGGGCAGCAGGTGGCATGGTGATTAAGGTGCTGGATTCCTACATGGCCGACTGCAATCTGAGTCCCAAGCCCAGTGGTTTGAAAATCATGCTGGCCACTTGTGTGTGCATCCCCAAAATCCTGAGAGAAGAACAGAAGAAAAGGGACTGAGAGATTGCAATGTGGCCATTCCACTTGGGGTGGGGGGTGATTTCTCACTTCCCTCTCTCTGTCTCTCTCAGTCTTTCTCTGGCTCAAGCATATGTGCCCTATGGCAAACACCAATAGATAAATAAATAAATAAATAAATACAGCCTAGCACAGTGCCTGGAATGTAGTGGGCATGCAGAAAGCTTTGGTTGAAGCTATGCATATATTAATGAAGGACAGTAGAGGCAGGTCTGGAGGGTGAATCCAGATGCTCCTTAGTGTAGTGGGGCACAACAGGAGGAGATAGGGGTGTACTTTAAATAAAGTAAGTCACTTACAGTCACCATAGTACCAGAAATGAGTTCAGGTCTAGGTGATTAAGAGCCTTCCTGGCTCTACTGTATGACAGGGTGGAGGCCTGGAGGAGGTTGGTCTATGTTCTGGATGTTAAAAGCAGCCATTGGATTCTGCGCTGCTGTCCAACCTCACTGAAGCCATGGGGCCAAGGTCCATGTAGCAGGTGATGTCATTACTTGCCGTAGCCCTCATCCTTCCCACTCCAGTGCATGCCTTTTGACCTCCAGAGCAACATCTGCATTGATTCCAGGGTGGGATTTTTCTGGCCACCGAAGCTCACTTTTCCCATCTGTGCTGCAGTCTAAAAATGCCCTCTGAGAGATATCCTCAAATCACTGCCTGGAGTGTGTAAGCAGCCCAGGCTCTTTCCCCCTAGTAGATGACTCTGAGGTATGTAGATCCTTTCATTCCCAGTGTGGTAACTGACCATCACTGACCACCTTCTCTAGGCTCCTTACCCTACTTGCCCTACCTGTTTCCTTCAGCTTCTAAATAAACCACTTGCCTTTGAATACTAGTCTCAGGGGTCGCCACTGGAGAAAACCAAACTATAGCAGTCCGCCCTGAGTCCTGAGCACCTGAGCAGTGAGTGGCAGGTTTCTAGAGGTTGAAAAATTCACAGGGGACAGGAGCTTCATTTTGTGTAGACCCTTAATAAAAAACAGGAGGAAAAAAGCCACTCTAGTGGGACTAGCAGATGACCTAATGGCTACATCATTAGACTCCCATGTAGTCGACTGCAACTCAAGTCCCAGACCCGATGGATTAAACTAACACCGGGCGCGTGTGCATGTATACCCAAGATCCCAAAAGGAGAATGAAGGAGAAGTGATTGCCGCATGACCATCCCCCCTGGGGGGTGATTTCTCGCTTTCTGTCTCTCTGTCTCTCTCTTCTTTCTGGCAAGTGCACACACCCTTTGGCAAAAAAAACTCTCAAAAAAAATTGAAAAGCCACTCTAGTTTCTCTTGTTTTAAAATATTGTGACTTAACTGCCAAATTATATTGTATAGCTCTCTGAGATGCCAGGGTAATTTTTAAGGTCAGCCGAAACTGCTCTGTTCAAAACCATGAATGATTTATACAAACATAGGAGAGAGTCTTCTTTGACTTACAGGACATTCCTAGTCCTCCTGACTATACCCCATTTCTTGTCGTAGCAGGCTGTTGGTTATTTCTAAGCATGGCCGGTGTGTTTTGTTACCACCTCTGTACTTTTGCTCAGTGGTTCCCTGGTTTGTGTTTGGATCTTCTTCATCACTGTACCAGCATCTGCTCCAGCCTGACTATCCATACTTGATTTCTGAGGGATGAATGGGTGAGCAGGTCGTTCTGTCTACACTGTGCAATAGATAAACGTAGGTGGAGCCATCACACTGACCTTTGACCTTTGCTTCCTTGCAGATATCTCAGTGAGCCTGCTGACCCTTGTGGTCACTGCCTGTGGTCTCGCTCTGTTTGGCGTGTCTCTCTTTGTGTCTTGGAAACTCTGCTGGGTCCCGTGGCGAGAACGAGGCCTGTTCTCTGGTGGCAAAGACAACCAGGAGCCTCTCAACTACACGGACACGGAGACCAATGAGCAGGAGAACAGCGAAGACTTCTTAGAGTCTCCCACTCCCTGCCCTGACTCCTCCATGAGGATCAGCCACACCTCCCCTGATATTCCCCTCTCCACCCAGACGGGGGTCCAGGAGAACTGTGCCCATGGCAGCCGAGTGCAGCGTCAAGTTACAGAACCAACCTCGTCAGCTCGGTCAGTACCACCCCTTCATTTCGGAATGCCAGTAGAAGGAACTCAAGGAGATAAGTAACAAAGCTGTCTGTTTTATTAATAAGCACTAGGTCAGGACTTGAGTGCTGGTTCAACCAACACAAGAATCTGAGTACCTGGGCCAGCGCTGTGGCCTGGTGGTTGTTGGGGCTGAACCCCATGTGGCTGACTGGGGTTGGAGTCCTACCCTGGTATCTTGGGAAACATGCTGGGCATGTGTTTGTGCATGCTCCAGATCTCTGCAGGGTAGAGAAAAGGAGAAGAAGGGATCGTAACCTGACCACACCCCTGTCGGGGTCCATTCTTCCTCTCTCTGTCTCTGGCAAATGCACACACCCTGTGGTAAATAAATAATAAATTAATAAATAAATCTGAGCTCTTAACCACCATTCCCTGCTGCCCTTCTAGTGCAGTGCGACTATTTATTCACCATGCTTCTGACCTAACCTAGCGATCCATCACTAGCGATCCATCACACATAGGCTCTCTTCCGACCCCACAGTGTGGCCAGAGGTGTTTATCTGTCTTAAGCTTTTGAGAGGCCCAGGCCTAGTTTCTATCTTTTTCCGTTGTCTGGATGTGTTGTGCTCTTGAGCAGCAAGACATAATATACTGCAGTGGTCAAAGGCATGGGCTCTGAAGTCAGATGAACTGGCTCTCCTATGTGCGTGGCATTGACGAACGTATTTACCTCTGTCCATGTCCATTTCCTCTTCCGTGAAAGAGCTATAGTAAGGGGACCACTTACAGTGGTTTCCAGCAGGCCCTGATAATGTGTGCTTTGCACAGGTCTGCACCAGGTAAGTGATCCAAAACATGAGCTGCCGTTTAGCTTTTAGTATTGCTGTTATCATCATCATTGTCCTTGAGACAATCATCATTGTCTCTCAAGATTCAGATGTTACACAAAAGTCTCTTTGAGGCTAAACAGCCAGTTCTAAATCATTGGCTGTGAAAACCCATTTTCAATAAGAGATTTCAGGAAAAGAGACTCACTTGGGAAGCAGCTTCCTTTAAAATGAAAATATTTGCTTGAGTGATAATGAGAGGCATCACATGTGCTATCATGTGGAGATTACAAATATAATGTAGGGCTATATTTTAAAAATCTTTTTCATTTGTTCTCAAGAAACAGAAATAAGATTTTATCCTTTTTTATGCTAATCAAGTTTATCCTGGAGACTCTGCTCATTCGTGTTATGTGGGATGGAATGTGACAGTTTATAATTTAATTTTTTTCAGAAACCTATTTTAGCATCATTTCCAATTCTGAATCAAAGAGCTAAACCTAAAATATTTCTCTGTGAGGAAATGGGTGGTTGTTTGCCATTTGATTTAGAAAAAGTCCTCAGATTTTATCACTAGGATTTCTGTTCAAATTTAAGACTTAAATATAACTAGAGCTCTTGTTTGACGCTGTCATGGAGTTCCTGCAGTGTTGCAGATTCATAATAAAATCCTTTCAGTACTTTGACAGTTAGGGCCTTTTAGGTGGTGTCTCCATTGAAATCGTTTCCTATTCCTTTCTACGCTGCATGGAAGTGTTCTGGCCTGAGTCCCTCCAGTTCAGGGCAGAACTAATAGCACCCTATTTTTATAAGATTTGATCTGAAGACTCTGCCAAAATTCAAATGACTCAGTAACAAGAATATCACTATAATTATCTCAATATTTATTGAAAAAGATGTATATTAGTACTATACATCTCAAGAAATCGAATTCAGGGCCAACCCAAAGGTCAGTGTTTAAAGTGGCTGGATCCTACTTGACTGACTGTGTGGTTCGATTTCCTGGTTCTAGTGCTTTGGAAATCATGCCAGACATGGTGCATGCTTGCCCAAAGTCCTGAGAGAAAAATGGAGAAGATAGGATTGTGGTGTGGCCATTCCCCATCTCCCCTAGGGTGATCTCTCTCTGTCTCTCTCTGTCTCTCTGTCTCATTCTCTCTCTCTCCAGCTCATGCATATACCCTGTAGTGAAATTTTTAAAAAGAGAAAGAAAGAAAGAGAATTCACTTAAGAAAGAAAAACTGTAGTTAACATCATCACTGATTTGTGGAAATTGGGCAGAAGGAAAAAAAGAGAATGAAGGAGTTATCTTTGTAAAATTCATTTTACGTTCAGATTTATCTTAGTTTCGGAGGCGTGTAATTAATTATCTTTTCCGATGACCCAAATCAGGCTTTGTAATATCTGTACTACTGTAAGAAAACTAAACTCTTTCCAGCTCCATTTGACCTAATAGTGACAATTTGCATCGTCATGCATTTGAAACATTCATAACTAAATTACTACTGACCTAGTTTTATGGGTTCTGTCTGGAAGTGCATATCTGTGTCTCATGGCCTTACCATAATGGTTTTCTAATTTTTTTTAAGGATTATGTTATGTTACAAGAAGACACACACACAACCTTTAACTGACCAAATGGGAAAAAAAAAATGTACAAAATGTTCTTCACTCTCCAAAACATTTTTAACATTTCAAAATAACATTTTTGTTATCATGTTTGAGGAAAAAGAAGATGCTCTCTGTGAAGATGGTTCTAAACAGTCTGCTCTTTTAGTTATTATTTCTTCCTTTCTTTCACTTTATGTTCTTTTTTTTTTTTTAATTATGTTGTATTGCCAGAAGTCATGTATGCTGGATAGACAGTGAATACTGCTCAGTGGAGTGTGGCCATGCCACAATATCGTCTTCTCCATTTCTCCATCCCATCAGGATTCTGGACATGTACACACACTTACCCATAGTAAATGGGTAAATGATTTTCAAGCCACAGGGACTGGGACTCGAACTCAAACCTTGGTCAGCCACATGGGATTGGGGCCCCACTATACAGTGCTGGATCACTGTGCTATGGGGCCAGCACATCCTGTTATGTTTTCAGCTTCTCAGTGCTGCCACTTTCTTATTGCTTCCGTTTCCATGGTACAGATGTTGTTGCTTGCTTTAGGGTTCCTAGGACACCTCCTTGGCCCATTGTGTGACTTAGGCTCCCACTCAAGGGTACCCTCATGCCATTGTGATTGGCATAGTTTCTGTCATCAGAAAACTCTACCTCACCCAGCCTCTTCAACTGGGGTGTGTTTGGCTCACACCAGTGCCTTTTTGGAACATCTTAAAGCTCAGCTTTGTTATATCTTCTAAGAATGTTTCTGGTCAGGATGACTTTCTTTTATTCTTCCAAGATTAAGCATGTTTAGCTCAATTATTATTAGAACCATCCAAAATTTCTATTAATATTTTTGTTCAAATGAAAGTTCTTTTGTATAATGATCTAAAATGTTGGGAATGTGAATATTTTAATTTTCTTAGAATTTTTTAAATACCAGAACTTTATAGAAGTCTATATAACAAATATATGGAAGTCCTTAGATCCCCAAAATAGAATGAATCTTAATCAGGATTGTATGGCCTTCCCATATAATACATTTCTTGATCCATATTCCAAGGTGAAAGTTCACTGTGTGTTTTTATGCTGTCTCAAATTTCCTATAGAGCCCTTTGATTTTATGAAAATTTCAGTTACTACACCACACATTCCTTGTCAGGTCTATTTGAGCGCTGTTTGATATTGCCACAGTTTGCTCCTAACAATCTCAGTCATCTACCTGGCTGAAGCCACCTTGCTACACAGCCCCAGAGGAGCCTGTTCACATGGACTCAGTAGGAGACCTTACCTGGAAAAAGCTAATTATACTTCAGTGACACCAGCCCCTCTCTTAGTTCTTTCCTGTCTCGAGACTGTCACACATGGAGTTCCTTTTTATTTGCCATTCTTGGCTCTTCTGCAGCCCTGATGTTCTATTTAAAATGTCAACCTGTTCAGAAAGGTTGCCGTGACCACCCTATCTAAAATATGTGTTCTGTCCTCCACTTCCTCCCACTCTTTTTTCTTTTCTGCAATTTATTCCATTCTTTCCCATATAGTCATATTCATTTTTTTTCTAGTTTCCAGAGAACATGTGCACTCACCAGAGAGAGACAGAGAGAAAGGAAGAAGGTACCCCAGTGGGAAGTGGTCATGCTGCAATTCCTTCTCCTCCATTTCATCATTCTGTTGGGATTTGGGACACTCACACACATGTGTCCAGCATATTTTCAGGCTGCCGGGACTGGGACTCAAACTCTGGTCATCCATTTGGAATCCAGCTCCATTAATCACAAGGCTGTGGGGCAGGCCCTCCCTCCCACTCTTCATCTCTCACATTGCCTTGTTTTAACTTCTTCACATTAAACTCTACTTCAAAGAGATTATTTGACTGTTATTCCTATCCTGTCCTCTAGACTGTAAGTTCTGTGAGCCAGAGAGACCACATCTGTTTCATTTCCCCCGTATAACCTTCCCCTTTTCCACCCGCATGCAGCTCCTGGCACATAGCAGACACTTTTTTCAAGAATACTGATGGAATATATTGGTCAATATCAGGCCACTTTTCTCTTGTTCTGCTGACAAGAGTGGCCAAGGGCCAAAAATTACAAACTGAGTAAGACCTGTTATGATGTGAGGCTGGTGGACTGCCACTTGTCCCATGTCTCACATTCATTCAGAGCCTCACATTTAGACTTTTGACCTTATCTCTGAATTAAGCAATCCATAAAATTACAGAAATACCCTGACAGAATTTAAAGAAGAAGATAATCATCACACTTTAGATTGGGTCCCATTAATAGCCACAACACCGTTAAATTAAATGTAATTTCTAATGAATAGTAGAGAAATTAAGGTGTGTTTTTGTGTGTGTGTTGAGATCACTGATTAAATGTAAACATCTAAAACAGAACATGTTTTGAATCACTATTAGTTACTTCTTCAGATTTTAATAAATGACACCTTCACAAATAGAAGTTGCCTAGACCTGTCTCAACTTCTGTAGATCCTGAAACTAAATGTGGGTGTGTGTTTTCTCCTCTGGAGTTTAATTATAAAAAACTAATATGTCCATGGTGTTCTTATATTTACTCTAGACACATGATAAG